AAGAAGCACAAGGGAAAGAAGAGAAGGTTGACGGTAGAGAATGGGTGGGGCCTTTTTGGTGATGTAGTACTTGGGTAGGTTTCCAGCAAGGAGCTGTTAAAAGTAGGGGAAAAAGGCCTGTCTGAGGCAACTGGAAGTCAGCAATGGCCGTTTGAATGGGCTCTTTTTTTTCTTTTTTTTTTTTTTTTTTAAGTTAAAAATTAAAATTAAAATTACAATTGTGGAATGATGAAAATGGGAGTATAAAAGATAGTATGATCTTTTCTTTGCCTTTAAGTTTCTTTTTATTTGACTATAAATTAAAATTTTAATTCTCTAAATTAAAATTTTCGTTCATCAATATTCTACTATATTGTAATGGTATTTTTTTGTTTTTTTATTATTTTAAAAATATATAAATTATAAATTAAAATTAATTAAAATTTTATATTTTATATTTTTAAATTAAGTACTTTGTGAAGCATCTTAACCAGGTAAGTGGGCCGTATGAATAAGTAGTGGTTCTGCTTTGCAGTGTAGTACTTTACGATTCGAACAGCTGCAATTTGATATTGGAGATATACCAACATCTTCGATTTTTCAAAGGGGAATAAGGCAAGTAAGCCCCTCAACGTCATTTTACCAATCAAATAAATCCATGATTCCCATGCTTAACCTTTAAGTGTGCAATTTAATTAACATCAACATCTCAAAGTCATCCAGAGCAGCACATCAGTTAATCTTTTACTTGCTTATTAAAAGTACTTAGTTTAAATTATGGCACCGAAAATCATTTCTTAATGGGACCAAAAATTTAGTGGTGTAGGACTTAGAGGCTAAAACCCAAAATTTGAGTTCGATTTTTTTTAATGAATTGTGGCTTAGATATTAAGGGAATTTATTTTTTATTTTATTAATTAATGTTTAATTTCTTACCAAGATTAATAAAAAATAATTTATTATAAATTTTTTAATATAAGCTTAAGTAACTTATTTTTAACTAAATTAAGAGAAATTAATTATAACGTAGCAAGCAAGTTGGCGCAAAATACCCTCCCCACTAAACATGAAAAAAGTAACATCAACACCTCCACGTAAAACAAAAGTAGCATCAGCATCATGCTTCACGCATTGGGGTGGAACTATTGACTCACCGATAGTGGGTAATACCACAGCCTAGTCAATTCAGACCATTTTCCCATTATAATTAATGACCTCTTGAAACAATTATTTTTATTTCTCAAATATACCCTTATATGATTTGAGATTGAGGAAGATACAAATGTCATGATACTTAAAATATCAAGAATAATAATAATAAATTAAAATATTTTTAATAAATTAACATATTAAAAATTTATTTAAAATATTTAAATAATTTTATAAATATTTTAATATTTAAAATATCTTAACATCTTAATTTTTGCCTGTATTATTTTCTTCTCCTTTGTTTGTCCGTTAATCCTTTCCAAGATTTGTCTTCTTCCTCTTTCCTTTCTAGACTTTCCTCACTCCTCTCTCAACCCTCTTTTATTTGATCTTATCCTCTCTATTTATCAATGAATTTCTGTGTCACAAAAAATGAAACTCCTAGAATTCTCGGTTTTCTGTGAAGTAAAATGTCTCCCATTGGAGTTTTCTAGGTAGGTTTTCTTGAAACGATCTTTGTCTTTTATGGGTAGAACGACAGTGGGTGGATTGATGTGCACACCACCATCGACGGCAGAAGTGAAAAATGATGCTTCCCGCATGGTACGCAAAAAAGGACCAAACTAATAAATCCTTAATTTTGCACAGTTATTAACACCCAACTTTCCATTAGCTTGTGAACTTTGTCGGTTTTCGACTGGGACTTGTGTGGATGGAAACCTGTATTGCTCTAGGATGGGAACAAAAATTGCGACTCTAAGCACCACTCTGTTCAACGATGGTTGGGCTGCAGGTCGTCCAAAGAGATAAAGAGTGTAAGCGACAATCGACGGTGCTCGTCGGGCTCAACTGTGGAGGAAAAGCATGAAACAAAGACCTTCTCTTGAAACATAAAAAGAGAAAGAACACATATTTATAAAAACGGCTATTGGAGAAATAATGATAGAAATTAATATGGGTAGATTGGAAATGAAAATAATTATTTTAAGAGATATTAAATTAAGAATTGTTTTTTTGCACCTATAACTTTGATTGTTTTATTTTGGTCGAGTGCACTTAAACTCATGACATCGGTCAGAGTTCAAAACTACAGTGTGCAGTCTCCTTTCCCTCCTTATATCCCCCTGTTCAAAAAAAAAAAAAAAAAAGTAGTTTTTTAACTTTTGTCCTAAAAAGTAGAGATTAATGATTTTGAAAAAAAAATTTAATTTATTAATTATTTAATTAAATTTATTTATATAACATTAATACTAAAATTAATATTTACTTTTATATTTCCTTTTGTAAATTTATTGCAAAAAAGTATTTTTAAGACAGTTTAAAAAAAAATCCTTAAATAAAAGGAGTAAATGGTCTAGGCAGTGATTAAGATAATGGCATTACCAAATTAAGGTGTAAGCAAAGTAGTCAATATCGTATCGGTATACGTATCGATTTTGTTATTAGAATGATAAGTACCAGATATCGAAATTTTTTATGTATCGTTTTGGATTTATCGTTAAAAATATATATTTTTATAAATTAAATATCAAATTTTAAAATAAGATAAGAGATACTAATATTTAAAACTATGATATTTTTATAAATTAAAAATAAGTTTAAAATGATCATTTTTAGTCTCTTAACTTTTAATATATGTATATTTTTCATTCATCCATTTTAAATTAAGGAACTAAAAATGTGTATATTTAGACAAATTTAACAAAATAATTGATAGAAAGACTAAAAAAAATGAAAAATGAACTAAAAAAAAGTACATAAACAAGTTAAAAGATGAAAATTATATATAACATTAAAGTTGAGGACCAAAAATGAAATTTACCCTTTTTAAATTTGAATTGAATTGTAGGAACAACTCCTGTGTATTGTTATCTGAAATGGCTGTTGCAGGAAATTAAGAAGCCCTTAGCCCAAAATTTTGGGCTAGGGAATCTTTTTTTTTTTTTTTTTAATTTGTAGTGTGTACCAGTCAAAATTTTAATGAATCGATCGGTACACCGAAATTTTAACTGGTACATTGAATTTTGATCGAAATAATTGAATTTTAACTAAAATAAAAACTAATATTACTATTTTGATCAATTTTAAAAATTGATACGTACTGACCGTACTAACTGATACGGTACGAATTTTACTTCTTTGGCTTGTAAGACAATCCCATACAATGAGAACCATAAATGCCTAAAATTACCAAACTAAAATATTACATGCAAAATGTAATCCATACAATTGATCCTTGAATATCAATTCAATTAGTGATTTTTGTTTAATTTAATAGTTGATTATTATTATTATTATTATTATTAATTTAAACACTTTTATTTATTAAATTAAATTAAATCAGTAATTGTAATTTTACACTATTATACAAGAGCCTTATATTATATTTAGATTGAGGGAAATTAAGAAGAGGGAGAGGAGAAAAAAAAAATTTAACTGATTAAACTATAATATTTTTAAAATATTATAATTTGATTGATCAAAATATTATAATTTAATTTATCAAAATATTTTCCTCTACTTTTCTTTTCATGTCCCTCCATTCAAATATAAAATTAATGAAAAGACTAAACTTTTATTTGCACCATGCACTTTTTTTTTGTCAACATCCTCCATAATTTTTACTTTTAATTAATATCTTTTATAATTTAAAACTTATAAAATATTTCAAATTACCAATAAAAGTAGGATACAAATAAGAGATTTAACTATTAATTTTTGAATTTTTTTATAAATTATAAATTATAAAAAGTATTAATTTAAACTAAAAAATTTTAAAAATATTAATTATATATATATAAAGTGCAAATAGAAGAGTTTAGTGTAAAAAAAAAAAAAATTACAGTGGATGTGGCCAATCTGCCATATCGGATAGGGCCGACCGACCGAACAGTTATAACAAACACAATCCAAAAGTGAATTGGGTAAAACTCCCGACCCAAGTCCTGAAAATTCCAGCCCAATAAACCACCTTCTCTCCCCGTCTATATACAAACAAATGCAGAAGAGGAGGATACCGATACGATTTCAGCGCGATCTAGACTCCAGAGCAGAAAATGAATTCGGGCTACATGGCTAAGGCTGCACCGATCCTGCTCTTGTTGCTACTCTTTTCATTCTGTAAGTAGCAATCGAAACTCTTTGCTCATTAGTTACGTTACGTTTCTTTCCCTTTCTTGATTAGATCTATAATAATTTTCGTGTGTAAACATCTTGTTTGCGCAATCTAAACGTTTTGGTAATGAACTTGAGTGCATTTAAATGGTTTTACTTTCACAATCATTGCTCAGCTTCTGCGAAGAAGTCCGGCGATGTAACCGAGCTGCAGATCGGCGTTAAGGTAATTCAACGTTTTCGTTTTTGTTAATTCTGGTTTTCTCTATGTGGGTTTGGGTTTTTTCTTTTTTCTTTTTTCTTTTACCTTTTTGCAGGATAATATAGTGAGAAACTTAGCTGTAAATACATCATGAAGTTTTCTTAGGAGTACAGCTTGAAAAGGAATTGACTTTAGTTTGTTTAAATGCCCAATATATATATATATATATTTTGGGTAATAATATAGTTACAATGTTACTTAGGATTGTAAGTTTAGCTGATGTGTTATTAAATGAGTAAATGCATATAATATTAAGGATGTATCACGGGATGAAATGAATCAATCACGCATCACAATTGTAAACTTACAATAGCGTTGTAACTATGTCATTTTTGCTTTTTATGGGTGTTGTGAGAAAGACTAAGTTTAAGCTTACTTGTAACTATATCCTTTTTGCTTTTTATGGGTTTTGTGAGAAAGACTGAGTTTAAGCTTACTAGCTTTTACATTTTAGTGCTTTGTGTTCTCCATTGAGATGAATGGAATACATGTATATCTTCTGCAATGTGAGCCTTTATTCTGCTAGTTACTCTAATTGTTAGTGTGGGTGTTGAAGTTGGTCAGTTTTCTTTCTGATTCATTTTCACATTTGCAGATGATTAAGCTCAGTCACTGCTTTTACTTTTTCATATTATCCATTGTTTCTCACTTTTAGTTTCTCTGTACCTTTTGCAGCATAAGCCGGCATCGTGTGAACTTCAAGCTCATAAAGGTGATAGAATCAAAGTGCACTATCGGGTAAGTTATACCAGAGTTGTAGCTGAATGTTTAGTTTGTGATAAATAGCATGACTCCTAATTCCTAAACCCATGTCATGAATGTTTGACCACTGTTTGCTGAACTTTAGAGGGGTAAAGGCAGTGTCATAAAAAGCTCACCTAGGTGATGTCTAAGCTCTAGGTGGTGCCATTCTGCCCACATCAGCCTAGGCTCTAGGCGATGCCATTCTGTCTACAGAAATTCAATGCGGTTTGCATCACCTAGATCAATTAAGTACATCCAGGCACTATTAGGCGTGCTTAATGGCACCTAGAGTGCTTGAGCAAATGCTTTGTATTAACTTTTTAGCCTAATGAAATGATGTCGTTTAATTTATTATAAAAATTATATTAAAAAAACATTAAATGCCAAGTAATTCCTTAAAATTCTGCTCTTTAGACATAATAATGAATAAAAAAATGTTTAATTTTTCTATTTATTTTATAATTTTTAAAATTGTTTTACATTTTTTTCTTATTCTCTTAGAATTATATCAAAAAATTATTATTAAAAAAAAAACCACCTAGGTGCCTAGGCACTCTAGGCTGTAGGCTGTGGGCAACTGCCCACCATCGCCTAGCACTTTCTGCAACCTTGGGTAAAGGTCAATTTTGCATTGTTATTACCTAAATGTTGATTTTAATCCTAGTCTAAACAGAGTTAGTTTTGAAGCCTGAAATAAGATAGACATACATGGTTCATGCACCACCTTTTCACCATTGTTGGAAATGATTTCCAATTTCTTTTATCCGACACTTAAATGTTTTAGTAGTTGTGATTCAAAACCATGATATACATACATATTTTAATTTTCCCTCTAGCTCATAACCCTTTTGTATAATTTGTCTAACAAACATAAGGGGGATGATCTATGTGTTTGTCATGTTTACAAGAATAGACAAGAAAGTTAGTATGGTACGTGTGTAAAGTTTTGTCCTTTTTTTTCCTGACATTTAAGATTGATTGACATACCCTACCAAATGACTTGTTGTGTCCCCTTCTGGTTGTACCTTTATTGTTGTTTTATGCAAACTATGTTCTTTCAATTTTTTTCCCCTAGATTTGTCTCCTTGGTTTACATCAGTTGTTTAACTTTGCAGGGACAACTCACTGATGGAACTGTTTTTGATTCCAGCTTTGAGAGGGGTGATCCTATTGAGTTTGAACTTGGTAGTGGCCAAGTGATCAAAGGTGTGTTTGGGCCACTCATGACCAGAGGCTTCTCTTTCTAAACTTAGCCATCTCTGTTTTTTGCTTATGAAGCTTGGTTGGGCATGTTATTCTACATTAAAATGATTGATACATCAAAGAAATCTCTTTGCAGGATGGGACCAAGGATTGCTTGGAATGTGTGTAGGCGAGAAGCGTAAGTTGAAAATACCTGCAAAACTTGGTTATGGGCCTCAGGGTTCACCACCAACCATCCCTGGTACTTCATTCTTCCTTCTTAATCTTTTATTTTCCACAAACAGTTTTGCAGGGTTGCATCTTTCTTGTGTCCAGTCATTTTTTAATATGGTATTACATATTATTATTATTATTATCAGATGTGATAATATTGGAATTATAAATCAGAAACCTGTTTAGGTGTTAGCTCATATGGAAAAGGGTTTATTTGACTAAAACCCTGGATTAACATATGTGCTTTTTCTTCTCCTTTTTCCTTCAAAGACCAGCCAATAAACGTGCTAAAAAATGTCTCGATGACATCCCGATGGTAAATTTTGAAAATGTAGAATTTTGAGTTTTTGCTGTATTATCAACTACCATAACAATAGGACTGAATTTAACATATGTTTATGATATTTTAGAGGAAATCCTCCTTGAATCAGCAAGCATTCAGGTCAAGGTATCATTGCAAAATCCAATGTATAAAACTTTAGGTTCAAGTACTTGAAAATGTGGAGTTTAGGTTTATTTGTTCCATTACCAACGTCCTTAGCAATAGCAGTGCACCAAAAGTAACTAGCATATGGTTAAGACATCAGAAGCAAAGCAACTCCATCTAGAATAGCCGAGTGCCACATTGAATAATTTAAACAAAATCATTAGGTCTTGTGTAACTTCCTAGTTCCTTTTTGTGTATTTCTTTTTTACTTCATTGGTTAGAAGATACATTCAGTATGACATGTTCTGAAAATTCACAGGTGGAGCAACTCTAATATTTGACACAGAGCTTGTTGCAATTAATGGGAAGACAGGAAGTGGGGGAAATGCAAGCGACAGTGAACTATAGTCATTAGTCAAGAATGAACTCATGAAAGTAGTTTATTCTTGTCTGTTTCTTTTCAGAAAATGCAGTTAGAATTCATGAGTCTTTTGACAAGACTGAGGACACATATATTACCAATAATCTTTCTACTTGAGCTTTATATTTTTGGACGTTATTTGTGGATTAGAATCTTTACTACCCTCTTCAGTGTTATGGCTTTAGCTTATGTTAGTGTTAATGATTCTCTCTTTCTGCGGCTTGCAAAATGCTGGCAGCTAAGGAAATGATCTTTATCCCTTGACTTAATGGGCAGTCTTTTTTTAGCGTTGTTGGTGATTGGAATTCATGGCATCGAGGGTGTTTTTGGATATATGGTTTTTTATCCTTTTATATTTTCATGTTAAAATTTTAGTTAAAAAAATGGAAATGGATTTTTAATTTGTTTCTGATTGTTTTTGTTTTCAAATATAGACAAACATTTCATTTTTCCTAATTTTTTTCCCTTGTAAACTGACAACATTTTGAATTATGAGTGCCACGTATGTCTCAATTCTTATAAAAAAATAAGTTTTGTCAAATAATTATAGATTTATTGATAAATGAATATGGTTGCCTTATAAGCGGAGTAACAAAAAACCATAGCTGGCGAAAGGAAGTGGTTTTTTTTTTTTTTTTTCTATCAATGGCACTAAAATGATTATAATTTATAGAATAGTAAAATAAATAAATCTTTTTCTCTAATAAAAAGTTGCAAATAAAATGAATTTTCTTTTTGATTTTAGATGCGGGTAAAAGAATAGGATGGACAGTTTAGTGGAATGCAGCTATCTATGTGCGATTCCATTGCCCTTCACCTTTTTCTCTTTCTCTAAGAGAAATGCAGCTCGTCCTTTTTGTGTATTTAAGAA